CTGGCGGGAGCGTGGGGCGCCTGAAAGCTGCCCGCCCACCCGGAGCTCTCGCTCCTCCTCCGCGCTCTTCCTTTGCCGACTTTTGGGCCCGGGGAAAGAGGGGCCCGCGGGCGGTTAGGGTCAGGCTTCGGGGCGCCTGCGTTAGGTTCTGTCACCCTGGGTCGAGGACCTGCTGTCTTCTCTGGGGGGGCGGGAGGGTCCCGCGAGGCCGTTGAGCCTGGGGTGACGTTGACCTCTCTACGATGAACCAGGAGCGTGCTCCACGCGAGTGTGGGGCAGGGTTTGTGTGGTGAAGCCGACTTACTGTGCTTGGGGGGCCACCACGCCCCCTGTTCCAGAGACTGGCAGCTTCAACCCGGACCTCTTCCTGTCGCCCTGGAAGGAGCAGACTGTGAAGAAGCACTGGCTGTTTTGTGTTTTTTTCCCCCCTCTCTTCATTCCGTACGGGGGATCGAACTCAGAACCGTGAGCTTTCGAGCCACTGAGCTAAACCACTGGTCACAAAGGCTTTTAATCCGCACCATCTGTGTCGACCTTGGGCAAGCTCTCTGGAGGAGGAGTTAATGCTCAGCGGGGAATTCTGGTTTAAAAATCTCTTCTGTGAATATCAGCTACAAGGGGTGGTCAAAATATACTGTGAACGTTTTTAAAAAAGTTTTCGCAGTAAAAGACATTGCCATGAATCCTGAGTCCTCGCCTCCCTTCAGACACACCAACGTTCTTGCAGCTTTCTGAAACAGGGCTCAGTCCTCTTCCCCTAGTGGCCCTAGGGATTGTGATCAAAACCAGGAATGCTGTTGCCGAGTACCACCCAGGGGAAAAGCAGGCTCCTAAAAACATCCCCGTGTGTCCTCATTCGCTGGGTCTGCTGCGGTGAGGCTTCTTTTGGCTCTTTCCCCCAAGTCAAAATGAGCAGGAAAGGTCAACATTTTGAATCGTTTCAGGATATAGAAGCAGCCACCACAACAAAACTGAAGATACAAAAGATAATTTAGAAATGGCTTCGGAAGGTGGCAAAAACTGTGGAATGAGCTTGTTCGAAATAGGGGAGGATTTTCAGGTGGATTTATGGTGATGGCTTTTAGCATAATAAAGTTTTTAAAATTTACTATTTTTCTTTTCAATCATACCTTGTATACGACCAGTAACGTGGCCTCCCATGGCACTGCACTTAGAGCTTTGGCGTGTTTACTTCTGTTACTTGTTGCTCCAACCCTCTGTCCCTTAAGCTGTGTAAACATCTGTATTGCTTTCTGCTGTCTGTAAAATGAGCATAAAGGTGCTGCTGGCTGGGTCATGTCCTGGATTAAACGGATCCTCCTGCATGTGAATTGTTGAAACAGTTGGTGTTTATGGTAGACTAATATGTCAGTTTGCTTTGCATGTGTTTGTCAATGATCTGTTTGTTTTTGCAGTGTGGCTCTATGGGTTGTGGTGGAATTAGCTGTAGAAACATTCGGGCCTTGTGGAAGGGTACAGTTTGGGTGTTGTCTCCTCACCTCATGACGAACGTCACACTGGCCGGGTGGCGGTGGTCGGTGGTCACTCTGCCTCCTCCTGGGCACTCCCACAGCCTTGTATGGAACTCCTGTGTCCAGGGGCCACCAAGCTCAGGAGGGCTGGCCAGACTTCCAGCCTCACAGCCCCACCCTGGCCCCAGGTGCCACCTGGTGACCCCCATGGCAGTTTCCTGGAGAAAGTGGATTTCTTGTCCTGTATTCACCTTCCAACCGCCCTGCAAACTGTTTTTCAGATCAGTTTCCCCTGCTGACGACCAAGCGTGTGTTCTGGAAGGGTGTTTTGGAGGAGCTGCTATGGTTTATCAAGGTAAAGAAGTCGCTGACTTCACAGGTTGAGAGTTCTTAGCACAAGCCAGTGAGAGCCTTTTAATGTCAGATTATAGCATGGAGGCTGAAGCAGAAGGATTGCAAGTTGGAGCCCAGCTGGGCAATTTAGCCAAGACTTTGTCTCAAAAAATTTATTCAAGCAGTTTTTTCAGTACCAGGGATCGAACTCCGGTCTTTGTGCTTGCGAGGCAGGCAACGGAACCATTGAGCCAAATCCCTGGCCCTCAAAAAATTTAAAAAGGGCTGGGGATATCACTTGGTGCCGAGGCCAAGGTCACATACATACCCGGAAGTCACATCCTGTCATGCCTCAGCCTAAAGCCCTTAGCGGCTCCTATTTCACTCAAGAAGAGCAAAAGTTTTCACTGGATTCTTTTTCTGGCTCTGGCCTTAGCTGTTTTTTCTCCATCTCACCCACCCTGGCCTCCTTAACAATCTTTTGGGGATACTGGGATGTTCCCACTGAGGCCGACAGTTTGCCATTCCCACTTCTAAAACCCGCAACACTTTCTTTGACACTGCTCAGTGAGATTTTTTCTTTTTGGTTTTTTGAGACAGGATCTCATTATATATAGTTTAGGCTGGAGTTGAACTTTATGTAGCCCTGGCTGGCCTTGAACTCATGGTGATCCTCCTGCCTCAGCCTCCTCAGTGCTGGGATTACAGGTGTGTCACCACATTTGGCTCAGAGCTTTTTAAAATGTTCTGTAAGCACTATGTGGGGAGCCTCCTGCTGGCTCCGTGCCTGGGTCCAGACCAAGGGGGTTCAGTACTGGCTGAGAGTGCCCAAAGACACAGGCTTGTTCCGGGCCATGTGAGATAGAAGTAGGATCCCTGCTGCAGAGCATTTGGGGCGGTTCAAACCAGACCCAGGACCTCTAGTCCTGTTTTAGAAAGGGCTGGGATTTGGAGCCTACGTTTTCCCCAGCACCAGGTTCTGGGGTATCTTAGGTTGGCTTCTCAACTGGCATAGAGCACCTGGCCCAGATAGTCATCGGATTTCAGAAAGCGGATATTCTGTTTTATTGTTTTGGTGGTGCTGGGGATTGAACCCCGGGTCTTTGCCTGGAGCTGTACCTCCCAGCCAGCAAGTTCAACCAGAAGTAGGCATGGTTAAGCAGCCAGAGCCCAGTCAGGGTGGATGGAAATGGTGCTCTTCAAGCAGAATGCCAAAGACTGAGAAACGACTTGTTAGAAGTGAAAAATCTGGAATAAAACAGTAGAAAGGGAGGAAGTGAGATGCTTAGAAGTAAGGGTCTTCCCTGTTTTAACTTCCAGCGTGAGTTCAGGCTCTCAGAAGTGTTTGCAGGTGGCCAGGCTCTCCTGGGAACTTGGTCACAAGCAGGAGGCGGGAGGTACTTGCCCAGCAGCCAGGAGTGGGTGGGAAGGTTGAATCAGGCCATGAAGTAGCTGGTTTCTTCCAGGGCCTGGGCTCCTTTATAGATGAGAGTCTGGGTCGGGGGTGGTAGGAGGACCAGACAAGGCCTAGGGGATGTAGCAAGCTCTGCTTGACCTTCCTCAGCACATCATGTCACGGACCAGATTAGTGAGATGAAGTGAGAGGGAAATAAACACGAGGCAGTGTACTTAACAGGGAAACAACTGTGTAAATATAGATTGTGGGTAACAGGAACTTTATAATGGCATAGAAGAGTAAAATAGTGTCTACTTTCAGTCCAGCGTGACTGGTAAAGTATTTGCCAGAAAAGCAAATGCTGATTGGTTCTAATCAATATATTATCCTGTATGCCTGGTATATGAATGCATTGCACATGAGGCAGGAAATTCATTTTGGAGTAGCACATTTAGACATGTTTAAGAAATGTAAAACTGACATAGGTGTGGTGGCTCATGCCTGTAATCCCACACTCTGGGAGGCTGAGGCAGGAGGATCCTAAGTTCAAGGCCAGCATGAGCCATTAAGACCCTGTCTTAAAATATGACATGAAAAGGGCTGGGATATAGCGTAGTGCAAAGGTCCTGGGTTCAAAACCCAGTACTGCAAAAGGAAAACAACGTTACTCAGTTCCCACTCTACTGTTTCTTCCAGGGGTCCACAAACGCCAAAGAACTGTCTTCCAAGGGTGTGAAGATCTGGGATGCCAACGGGTCCCGAGACTTCTTGGACAGCCTGGGGTTTTCCAGCCGCCAGGAAGGGGACCTGGGACCCGTTTATGGCTTCCAGTGGAGGCATTTTGGGGCTGACTACAAAGATATGGACTCAGGTGAGAAGACGAGCCAGGCCCTCGACCCTGCAAGTACCCATCATAGCGTGTGTTTGATCCATGTGGGGACGAAGTCTGGGGACTGTACGTCCTGGAGCCAATGGAGAACTCTGACATTGGGCCGCTTCCGTGTCATTGGCAGATGGCTGTAGGCTTGGTGTCCGTGTTAGAGGAAGTGCATCTGCGGGAGAAGCCACCTAGCTGTGTCTTTTTGGTGGCTTTGCTTGCCCTTTTCATGGCTGGACCAGCCAGGCATGATGGTATACACCTGTCGTACTCTGGAGGCTGAGACAGGAGCATTGCCCTAAGTTAAGTTTGAGGTCAGCCTGGAAAACATAGCAAGATTCTATCTCAACAAGAAAGGCTGGGCCACCAGCACGGTGTAGGTCCCTGTGGTGCTGGAGTACAGGAAGGAACGTCCCACAAAGGACTCCTGCCCTTCTCCATGCTACTTCCTCAGTCCCAGAGCCAGCCCCCGGCCAGTGGCTCTTGTCTCACCTGTCCTTAAGCAGATTCCACCTCAGGCTGGCTGGGCAGGGACCAACACCCTGGACATTGTGTCTCCTCTAAAGGGACAGTGTTGCAGCTCCACTCCTGTCCCACTGGAGAGATCAGGCCTGGTGCTGACTCCCTTTAGCCAAAGCCTGAGATTACATTCATGTGCAGTCATGGGATCTTTTTAATGTCAGCACCTCCCTTCCTGGTACTAGAGATTGAACCTAGGGCCTTTGTACCTCCAACCCTTCTTTTTTATTTTGAGACAGGGTGTTGCTAAGATGTCCAGGCTGGACTAGAACTTGTGATCCTCCTGCCTCAGCCTCCCAGAGTCAAAAAGATACACAATGCTGTGTAGACCAGAAATGGGCAATTTTGTAGTGGCAGAAAGTAGAATAGAGGTTGCCAGAGTCTGGGTGGAAGAGGGAATGGGGAATTTGGGTTTAGCAGGTGCACAGTGTTAGTTTGGGATGATGAAAATTCTAGAAAATGGATAGGGTGATGGTTGCAAAATATTAACGTGCAGTTAATGCTGCTGAACTGCATGCTTAAAAATGGTGATAGCACTGCATTTAATGTTATTTGTACTTTATCACAATGGAAACAATGCAGTATAAGGTAGGAGGCTGAGGCAGGAGGACCACCAGTTCAGGCCCAGCCCGGGAAACATAACAACTCAGTGAGACCCTGTTTCAAAATAAGAAAGGGCTGTGATGTGGCTCAGTGCTAAAGCCCTGGGTTCACTCCCAGCCCCGCAAAAACCAGCAGCGTGGACCAGCCTGTGTGCAGGTAGAAGGTCCAGGCTGTCTGCACTGGCTGTGCTAGGGCCTCTTCCCGGGACGAGGCTGCTCCCCTGGCCCGGCGCACCTCGCACCCCGCCCAGCAGTCAGGCCTTTCTTGTTGCTGACGGGAAATGCATGGCCTTCGTCTGGAGCTGCCTGAATGCTAGCTGTTGGACTCCGGTAGACAGTTCATTTTGTTTTTAAATGGCCAGGAACACAGCCCAGGGGCAAATGCTTACCTAGCATGCGCAAGGCCCTGGGTTCCACCCCGGCCCTGGAAGGAAAATGCGTTGTAACTGCACATTCATAGGAAGCTGCCCCAAAAGGACCGT